TTTGGCAGAGGGAAGAAACATTCAGAAGTCAACTCATTTATATCTGGAGATAGCCATTAAAAAAAAAACAGATAGCTGTGAAACACAGGGGAAATAGACATCACTGACATATTACCCACCCCTAACTGCTCTTGGGTTGCAGGGTGCAGGGCAGCCTTGGGGAAGGTTGTGCACAAAGGTGGGGGCAAGCTGGGAAGGGCAACAAGTAAGGAGAAAGAGTGAACCCTCAGTACCACTAGGCTCACCATGGAGAGGTAAACATAGGAGGAATAGAGTTCCAGGTTGATCTGCTTGTTAACAGCATCCTCACAGTCCTTGTGGTAGTTCTGACACACTTGGGAGGCCATCTTCACTATTCCTGCTTACTATCCCCTAGACAACTCCAGAACTAACCATCACACCCACAAGTTCTTGTGTTTATACTCCTGAGACATTCTGCACCCAACCACTGAATGACATCACCAATCATTACTGACAATTCCTGACAACCAATCAGGAATAGCACATCAACCAATGCACCAATGAAAAGGGAGAGGGATGGGGACAATGCTGAAACCTAGAGCCAATCAGAGATTTAGAATACTGAGAGATTTGGGTAATTAGCCTTAATGATGCAAGTGCTTTTGGAGTGATAGTTCCTCAACACAGGCCAATCTAGCTGGTCAATTGTAAATGGATATGTGATGTGTTTGTGTCCATATCTCTGGATCTGAAGACTCTGGTGTCAGGTCCCACTGTCTCCTCAACAGGTTGCTCAGAAAGTACTTATCCTGGGACAGGAAATGAAGTGATTAAAAATGTTACCTTTAGTGAGGCACTTTTCCCCCATTTGACCAAAACTGGTTATTTTGTCTCAAGTGTTTCACTGATACCCCAAGTGTTTGCAACTAGTTTCATTCTAGAAGATTTAAAAGGGACCTGAGGGGCAGAGTTTTCACACAGAGGGTGGTGCATGTATGGTATGAACTGCCAGAGGACTTGATCGAGGCTGGTACAATTACAACATTTAAAAGCCATTTGGACAGGTACATGAATAGGAAGGGTTTAGAGGGTGTGACAATACAATAGCTTTAAGAGGTGTATTTTGACCACATTTTTGATGAAGAAAGTTTGGGATGGAGGTAGAGCGCAGTCAGCCCAAAGCCAATAAAGTAGAGAGCTTGTGAGGCATTGAGGTTTTTATTGAAGTTTCAACAATAGAAGCGACCTGAATTGTGGAGGGTAGGTGTGGGCCAGGGGGGGTGTTGCAGGACAGGGTGGGGGGAAGTGGATGAGTCATTGGTCAACTCGCACAGAACCAGGATTTTTACTTTCAGCTTTCAGCAGTTGCTGAGGTTTTCGAGCTGGCCGTGGGAGCTCTTATTCCTCTCTCTGTTACAGCTACAAGCTGGGAGTTCTCCTCCGGCTGTTAGAATTACATGTGAGAGAATCTATTTCACTGAATCTGCCTTTGCCAAGGGCGTGTTTACGGGATGTTACTATGTTGGAACAGTTAATTAGTAATAGTTAATGTATCTACTATTTTGTTCAGCATTTCGATAGGTAAGCCAATACTTTCCTTTTTGTTTTGTCTGCATTTCAACTGTACTGTTAAAAAAAAGTGTGCTTTGCTTGAAGTTAATGGTTTGACCAACTTGAATTTCATCTGGAACACAATGCCTTACACTTACCTTTAAAATAAGAAAAAATTACAGTCTTAATGTATTTGGAGAGGAATTTGGTCTGTTCCTCAATACGAGATATGTGCCAAATGCAAGCAAATGGGACTAGTTCAGTTTGAGATACCTGGTTAGCATGGAGGAGTTGGACCAAAGGGTCTGTTTCCGTGCTGTATGACTCTGTGACTCTAAGCAGTTTGGTCTTGAAACGGGTGATGAGATGTGCTCATTTGGACTTAACTCTGGGTTTGATGGGCCAGATGGGGGATCCTGTGATTGACATCAGGAACCACCAATCACCATCCACGCACAGCCCTCTCGGGACAGACCCCACCAATGGACACAGTTGACCCGCCCAAACAGAAAATGGATCTGTAGATTGACAGATGTCCTGGTCAAAATGGATCTGAGATGCAGGGGATGTCCATTAGTCACAAAGGGCTTTGTCCCAAATAATGGACGTCACATGGTCATTCAATGGTCACCAGAGAGTTTGATGAATATCTGTGGTGACTGGCTCTGTGGGAATAGGTGGTGTTCCTGGCTTACTCCCTGGTTGTCTGTGTAACATAAACCACACATACTCATGTTCTTCTCGAATCAATATCCAAATAAGTATACTGCAGGAAACTTACAATGCAATATTGAAGTACACACTTACTGGTGAATACAGCACTTTTGAGGGATTGAAATTTTGCAGGGGAGCTTTCTGCCTTATGTTTTTGCAGACAACTCCTGAGTGGTTGCAAATTTCAGGGCATGTGTGCAGAGAAAGTTAAAGCAATTGATACACCTTTGTAAGTCATTTCTATCTGGTATAGGCATCTTATGTATATGTTTTATTTTGGTAGGATGAAGTCCAATACTAGCGGATGAATAGATACAACTGAATAAATTGATTTGACTCAAGCTCATTTGATCTTTTGTACTATTGAAAACAAGACCATGATTCTTTGCTCTTGTCATGAGTTGAAGTTTTGTTTTATTAAAGTGTAGTTCTTCTGAGAATGGCATTTACAAGATGCAGATATCTTGGCAGGTTTTCACTGATGCTGTCCTTTTGTTGTTGGAATATTTCCTGGCTGACATACTGTTCCAAGCCCGTCTGGCATTGTTTCTTTCTTGGCCCTTCTTCACGTGGTGTTTTGTTACAATTTGGGCTTCTCTGGGCTATTGGATTCCAACAGATTTGAATCCAATCTGCTCCCATAGAACACAACCTAGATGTATCTTGAAAAGGATGGACAGTGCTTTGGTGGGTAAGGCAAACTGCATCTGATTCAAGGATTCGAATAGTTGTTCCATAGTCAAGCACTGGCAGACGCTGCTGGCTTGTGACAATTGTTTTAAACTTGCTTCCTTTACCCAGCTGTGCATCAATGGTATATTCTTTGGGTTTGTTTAGGAGGGGCCTGGAGAAGGATTTGATGGACATATAGGTAATGATGAGTTCCATACCCATTCCACATAGATTGGCTTCAGTGAAGTCACTTCTCATACCTTCCCTTCAACATCAACCTATGCATCGATCAAACATTCCCCCTAGCTGTTGGCAGTATGACATGAACTCAAGCTGTGTCTCCCACAGTTGAGCATCTGAAAGTGAGCAGAACCCTTGCTATCATCAGAAATGCCGGTGGATGTTTTTCTAACTCTGCAGTGCCCAACGCTAGAACAAGCTTTGCTCCAAGCCATTCCCGCTCAAAGTTTTTTTTTTAAAAGAAAATCAGCTGTCTTACAAGGCCTGACCCTGACAGAATGTCAGTGGTCTCCTAGTCCTTAGTTATGTTTTTGCTTTCCATCATTTTAGTCTTTCAGGGGCACTATGTTTTTGTACTGGGGATCTCTGTTTTGTAATTTGTCTGTCAGACTTTTGACCAGCTGCCCTTTAGGGTGGGGGGCTTATTGCCTGCCAAATGACATCCATGTGGAAAAAGGGTGTTTCTTTTGAAAAGTTCACATTCCCCTCCTTTAGTCCTTGAGCTTTATGACAAACAAGCAATGTTTGTCTCAGCCACAAACCTGTTAGAATAAACCCTCTGATGCACTCAATACCTCAGTTGGACTGAGTCAGCATGGCGACTGACCATTTGATCTAATTCATCTCTGCCCACTAGAGAAATACAAAACTGGTCTGGTCCTAATTGGCTATATCCCTCTGAACCCTTCCTATGCTTAGACCCAGCCAGGTGCTTTCTCTCGGTAAAAGCTGTACCAGCCTCCAGCAACTCATTCCAGATGTACTGTGTGGGAAAGTCACCTCAAGGTCCCTTAAATCTCTCTCCTTTCACTTATACCCTCTGCTTTCCCCAACCCTGGGAAGAAAGGCCTTGACTATTTACTCTGTCAATGTCCCTTGTGATTTTAAATCTGAAGTTTCCCGTCTTCCTCCAAGAGGAAAAAGGATGCTAGCCCCAGCTTAGGAAAACCACCCACAAGGAGGTGGACTTCCTGAAACTTTAGCTTTCATCTAGCAGAAAGACCAGCAATGAATGCAGTATTCCAAAAGTGACCTCACCACCACCCTATACAGCTGTAACATGGCATCCCAAATCCTACACTCCATGCACTGACCAATGAAGACAAGCATCCCAAATTTTCCTTCCCACCCTGTCCACACCTTCAAGGAACTGTTTACCTGCATCCTCGGCATTTGTCTGTCAATGATCCCCAGGACCCTAACAAAACTGATAATTTGACAAGCCAATAAAAAGTTCAATCTCATCTTGATTTCAGATTTGCTCTCACCTGATATGCACACTTAACATGATGTATTTGAATAGTCTGTGGTGGTGCAGTGGTAACAATCCTACACCTTGTCTGGGAGGGATGGGTTCAAGTCCCACCTGCTCCAGTGAAGTGTAATAATACTGATTGAGAAAAAACATTAACATGAAAATCATAATTCTACAAGCATAACCTTAAACTTCAGAAATTATTCAATTCAAATGCCAGGATTTGTTATGCATAATTTACTGGAATCTCAGGTTTCTCAATACCCTTCAGGTTTCATTAATGGCTTCCAACCCTCTGCTCAGTTGGAGCTTTTGCTGAGAAGGATAGGCCTACAAGTCATACCTGAAACTTCACTGTTACTGGGCCAGTGTGCTAATCCCTTCCTTCCAAGGTATCGTAGGTCGACCTACACAAGATGCAGGGTGGTTCAAGGCAGCAGCTCACCATCTCAAAGGCGACTAATTCCAGGCAATTGTCTGGTCCAGACAGTGAAACCCACAGCCCAGTGGGGAAAGTGTTCCCATCAGCAAGAACAGAACCAAACAGGATCAAGCTACAACACAGCTCACAGCAAGGATTAACCCAGAAAGGGAGGCAATATTGAACAGTTTATTTACACTTGGTACAGGACAATGAGCTGCTTCTACAAAAGGAGAAGTCTCTACAGGTCTCCCATTTATACACATGGCAACAAGCTTGCTCCCTGTAGCCAGTTCAGTCACTCTCCCCCAGGGTGAGCCTGTCAAACAGGTACTCTCCCATGCCATTCTCAGGGGCTCCCAGTCTCTTCAGGTTGGTGATGTGATCTCCCAGCTTCTTGATCATCTTCACTTGCTCATCCAAGTAGTTCCTCTCCAGGAAGTCACACAGCTGGAGAGAGAAAGATGTACAACACATGAATTGACTTTCTCCCCAAAAGTGGAGACTCCCATCTTTTAAAAGAAGAGAAGTCAAGTGGTGCAAAGATGGTTAAATATACAATTTATACATGGTTACTTAGATCACAGGGACAACATTTGCACTCCTCTCCTGGAAAGACGGGATGTTGATAAGGCAGCAATATAGTAGCATGACCTAGACTCAGACCTAAAGCAACATTAAAGCATGGATAACTCACATGAGGGTCTGTGTTGCCAGAGGCGAGTTTGTGCAGATCCAGCAGACTCTGGTTCACATCCTTCTCCATCTGCAGAGCTCTCTGCATTGCCTCCAGACCACTGCCCCACTCATCCTGCTCTGGCTTCTGCAGGGAGGGAAGAGGCAGATGCTTCACTCATGTGAAAGAGCAAGTCCAATGCAATGAACTGGAAAGGTAACTAGGAACTAATGTGCCATATAGCATTGTGGCATTACTCCAGCTGAATTCAAGCTTCAAATCCATGTCTAGTTCAGGTAGTCGTAATGTAGGATGATACACCAACCTTGACGTCCTGCAGGAGGACTCGGCCTCCACGTTTATTCTGGAATGCTATCAGTTTCTCAGTGTGTTCCCGTTCCTCGTGGGACTCCTCCTTGAAGAACTCAGCGAAGTGACGCAGGGCAACATCATCCCGGTCAAAGTAAAAGGACTGTGGGAGAAAAGGAGAAAGTGGCAGAGTCAGGCAAGCTCCAGATCTCAACAATTGATAAATTCAACAAGAGCTGGTTTAGTTTTTCAGCTTTGACAAGAATGAAGTGTACAAATCCTGAATGTCTCAACAATGTAGGAACATATTGGGGTGGTGTAGAGTTCAGAACTAGAGATCTGAGTTCAGCAACATAAGGGCCGTTTTTAACTGACTGAAATAAAGGTTCGAGTTGCAAAATCAGAGGTTAGGAGGTTATTATCTACCTATGATTAGCCATTGTTAAGCAGAGTTCCTGGTTATTCAGAAAAATAGTAGAATGCAAGCCAAGTGAGCATGATGTTACTAAAAATGATCAGATCATGTTGTTTGCAGGGGGCCATGTGATCTTTGTCATCAAATCATTTGATGA